ATATTTACACGCAATCCTAATTGTATCACTTTCATGACAATGATTAAATTGATAAAATGGAGAACATCTATTACATAAATTAAAAAAGAAAAAATCAATTATAGATTACACTGCTACTAACCTAGCATGTGACAATGCGATTCTGTTTGTCACAGCTATAAAATTAATGCATTTATCAATCACTATTATTGATTGAATTAATTTTTTTTTTCGTTTCTCACAATTATGAATGTCTAAGACGTACCCTGTAAGCTTCTTTAACGCCACCATTGTCAGCTATATTTTCACCTTGCGTAAGTTTACCATTAACCTAAAGTGAAGAAGTTGTAATTAAACGATACAAAATAATTAGATGAAAATATGATCTAATAATTTTCGCTATCCTTATACCACGATGATTTGTGAGAAGAACCACAAATACTTTTTATCTCAATTGTTTTAAACCATTATGCTCACTAATTATATGAGGTATTCATAAATTGATGGAATTAACAAGAAGATACTAAAGAGTTACTGTATGAAAAAACGAAACTAGAATCAGTCGTACGAGTAAACGTGTGTATATATATACGCCAAGTACGTCAGAATAAAAGTATTTCAGTAACACAGTTACTTCATAAAATGATTCCCCACTTTACCTTATAATCCGTGTTTGGTACCACATATGAACTGTACTGATTAATTATACATTCTTTCCGTTCAGCAAATCTATTATATGAATCCGCATTCCACCAGTTTAGTAGATTACCTTCTTTATCAAATTGACTTCCTAAATAGTTTTAAATAGAAAAAATGATAGACACAATCATTTGATAATAATTTCAGCGTACCTCACTTTAAACTTGAAAATCGAAGATCAAAAAATAAATCTAATATTATCAGGAAATATGAAAGCAAAAAAGGGAAAAGAGGTAATTAGATTCTGATCATAACACCTCGGTCATCGAATCCATGCGTAACTTCATGTCCTATTACTGCACCGATTGCACCATAATTTACCATTCTGGAAAGGATAATTTAAGTAATTGGTTCGATAAGTTACAAATGTCAAAAATACCGAAATTCATACTCATCAAGTTAGGGATAAGAAATTGCTCGAACTTCTACAAATTTAAAAAACTGAAATATTTGAACGAAAATAATATATGAAAAACAATCTAGTAAGTGGAAAAGAGTTTTGTGTTTGCAGAAAAATTAAAAAAAAAAAAGAAAAAGAAAATAAACAAACTTTGGATATGCACCATGAAAGAATGGCGGCCTGAGAATTCCTGCAGGAAATGCTAAAACACACAATGCCGATTTTGAAAAAAATGTTTTAGAAAATTTCTCGAAATATTTTCAACAAGAATTATTAATTAGTGACGATAATTGGCTGCACATCACAAATATTCAATTAAAAAAATTCAATAATTCAAATTAATAATTATATCTTTTTCATCAAACAAAACCGGATTTGAAAGATGCTTTGAAAAAGAATAGTTAAAGATAAAAATTGCCCATTTTCATTAGGAATTATAAAAGCTAATTAATTAAGCATTGGCTTACTTAAGGCATTTTTTTCCGGTGAATAGAATGCATTGACAACAGCTGGACTTACTTCGAACTCATTTTTATCAAATAATTTCTTCATGCGCAAAAAATCCTTTTCCTGGGACCACGTGACTACTTTTCTCAGCAAATCGAAGTATGAATCCTCAGTTGTAAAGTTTAACTGCAAACATCCCAGAAGTGTTGCAGAATATCTTCACCTGATAATTATTTACCGCTAAATTTTAAAACACTTCCTACAGCTTCCAAATTTATAGAGATCAAATTATTGATAAATAGGTCAACTGTCAACTAAAATGAATAAACTAATCTAGAAGAACTTGCTGCGAACTTTTTGTATGTTCCTTTTCTTTCAGATGGTTTAAGAAATAATCATTTGTTTTGTTTTTTCTGTTTCCTGATCATTTATGCCACAAAACAAATATGCTAAGGTAAACTTTTTAATAACTTTGACAATTTTTATCAACACTATTAGAATCTGTTTGAAATTTATATAGAAAACGAAAAACAAAAAAAGCATCTTTTCC